TATAATGGGAGGTCCCATTTTATGAGGGCTACCGGAAAAAAATTCACCTATATTTATAATTTGTTGTGGGAATATTTGGTATCCAATAAGAACTAAATGTACCAAATTTCAGCGAATTTGGTTGAAAAACACACTCAAGACCCCAAAATACCGAAAATACCTCCCTTTATATGGGAGGTATGCCTAAACGTGGAACGATATAGCCCATCTTCGAACTTGATCTGCATCCAGACAAAAGACAACTCTATGCAACATTGTGGCGATCTATCACAATTCGTTTGGACATTAGAGTGATTGCAACAGGCAGACGGACCCTGATCAAGAATATATACTTTATAGGGTCGAAAATGGTTAATTCGATGAGTCACAAGCGGAAAAACAAAACCAGTAAGGAAAGTAGTAAAGTCGGACGGGGCCGACTATATGATACCCTTCACCACTTTGGGTATATTCAACAGATGAATTCTAACAGATCTCCGTCAGTAAAAAAGGACCAGTAAAATGAAATTGGATCCATAAACATGTCATTCTGCAACCCATACTAAATTTTTCATATGGTCAGATAAAGAGTTGCTATAGATATAGTATATATATATATATATATAACATACATCATTCTAGACCTAATTCATTACGCTGTGCCAAATTTCGTGCAAATTGAAAGATATATATAGGGTATTTGGTGGACCATTTACATTAAATCGGACGAATATATATATGGGAGGTATATCTAAATCTGAACCGATTTTCAGGAAACTTATCACACATCATTCTCGACCTAATTCATTATGCTATGCCGAATTTCGTGCAAATCGAAAGATATATAGGGACTTTGGTGCACCATTTACCTTAAATCGGACGAAACTATATATGGGAGCTATATCTAAATCTGAACCGATTTTCTCGAAAATTGGCACACATTATTCGGGAACTAATTCAGTACGCTATGCCAAATTTCGTGCAAATCGTAACATATATAGGGACTTTGGTGCCCCATTTACCTAAAATCGGACGAAAATATATATGGGAGCTATATCTAAATCTGGACCGATTTTCAGGAAACTTAACACACATCTTTCTAGACCTAATTCAGTACGCTGTGCAAAATTTCGTGCAAATTGAAAGATGTATAGGGACTTTGGTGCACCAATTACCTTAAATCGGACGAAACTATATATGGGAGCTATATCTAAATCTGAACCGATTTTTCCCAATTTCAATAGGGTTCGTCCCTGGGCCAAATAAGTGAGCTGTGCCAAATTTCATCCAAATTGGATAATAAATGCGACCTGTACTTTGTTTACAATTTAACATGGACAGACGGACAGACGGACGGACGGACATGCATAAATCGACTTAAAAAGTGATTCTATGCATATTCTCAAAAGGAACCATGTGTCTATCTCGTTTCCTATTGCCTGTTACAAACATATGCACACAGACATAATACCCTGTACCACAGAGTGGTGAAGGGTATAATTAATGTATCTTCCATACTATGGTGTTCAAGCCGAATATTCGGTCGGTTTAAGTGATTGTGTATTTGCTTGATATAATGTAGCATACTTTAGGGCTGATTATTAAGTGGGTGAAAATAGTAGAGTTACCATAATGAAGATGGAATTATTCCAAAATCACGAGGTAAAGTGTCTATCAAATTTTGTCACTCTATTTGCAAAATCCCGAAATATTTGTCGGAGTATTAAAATTCTTGATAGAAATAAAATTCAAAGTCGATTTAAATATCTCCGCCTGTCTGTGTGTTGATATAATTGAAATACATTGATTTTTATACCCTTCACCACACTGTGGTACAGGGTATTATGTCTTTGTGCATATGTTTGTAAAAGGCAAAAGGAAACGAGATAGATACATGTTTCCGTTTGTCGGACGGACGTCTGTCCGTCTGTAGATGTTAAATTGTAAACAAAGCACAGGTCGCCTTTATGATCCTATTTGCATGAAATTAGACACAAGTCACTTATTTGGCCCAAGAACGAACCCTATTGAAATTAAAGAAAATCGCTTCAGATTTAGATATAGCTCCCATATATAGTTTTTTCCGATTTTATGTAAATGGTGCACCAAAGTCCTTATATATTTTTCGATTTGCACGAAATTTGCCACAGTGTACTGAATTTACTCTACAATGACGTGTGTCAAGTTTCGAGAAAATCGGGTCAGATTTAGATATAGCTCCCATATATATTTTCGTCCGATTTAAGGTAAACGGGGTACCAAAGGCCCTATATAGCTCTCGATTTGCACGATATTTGACATAGACTACTGAATTAGGTCCAGAATGACGTGTGTTAAGTTTCGTGAAAATCGGCTTCGATTTAGATGTAGCTCCCATATATAGCTTTGTCCGATTTGAGGTAAACGATGCAGATTTAGATATAACTCCCATAAATATTTTCGTCCGATTTCATGTAAATGGTGCACCAAAGTCCCTATATATCTTTCGATTTGCACGAAATTTGGCAATAGGGTGCTGAATTAGGTGCAGAATGATTCGTGAAAATCGGTTCAGATTTACAAATACCTCCTATATATACTTTCGAAAATAGAAAATAAATTATATCGATATATTCGTCCGATTTCATGTAAATGGTGCCCCAAAGTCCCTATATATCTTTCGATTTTTACGAAATTTGGCATAACGTACTGAATTGAGCCTTGAGTGATGTCTGCCAAGTTTTGAGAAAATCGGTTCAGATTTAGATATACCTTCCAAATATAGTTTCGTCCGATTTCATATAAATGGTGCACCAAAGTCCCTATATATCCTTCGATTTGCTTGCAATTTGGCATAACGTACTGAATTGAGCCTAGAATGATATCTGCCAAGTTTCGTGAAAATCGGTCCTGATTTAGATATAGCTCCCATATATAGTTTCGTCCGATTTCATATAAATGGTGCACCAAAGTCCCTTCGATTTGCTTGCAATTTGGCATAAAGTACTGAATTGAGCCTAGAGTGATGTCTGCCAAGTTTCGAGAAAATCGGTCCAGATTTCTATATAGCTCCCATATATAGTTTCGTCCGATTTCATTTAATTGGTGCACCAAAGTCGCTATATAATTTTTGGATTTGCACGAAATTTGGCATAACGTACTGAATTGAGCCTAGAGTGATGTCTGCGTTGTTTCGTGAAAATTAGATTGTTATAGATTGATTTTAAGTAATTGACGCACCAATGAACCAATAGGCTGATAAGAACAAAACGTTCTGAAAGTGACAAGTTTTTTTGAAATCGCTTAATATTTGGATAGAGCTTCCATATATATTTTCGCCCGATTTCAAGTAAATTGGGCATCAAACTCCTCATGTTAGTCAGATTGACATCAAATTTTGCACAACGTACAAAATTGAGCAAGAATTACGTAGTTGCGCTTTCTAGAAGTACAGACATAGCCCAACGGATGACCTATTTATATTTGTTTGAAGTCGATTTACGTACTTTATGGATAGATCTAGGTAGATTCACATTTATATAATTATCACATATTTCATTTCATCCAATTTCATGTTAATAGTCCTGTTTAATATACCCATAGTGGTGAAGGGTATCATATAGTCGGCCCCGTCCGACTTTACTACTTTCCTTACTGGTTTTATATTGTCGCCTATTTCCTGATAACAACTATACATATTTTCAAGAACGTCCGTACTATCCGAAAATTGGCTTCCAAAGCTACCCTTCCAAATATTGATTGTCCGGATCTTGGGGATAAATTTAATTGGAACCTATCCATCTAAATAAAAAAATGAGGTGGTTGGCCGGATCTTGACAAACAGCTTCACCATCGACAGATTCTAATGCAAGATATACAATTGAATGTCTTATACAATCAAAATTATTTCTACATATTGCTTTCTAAACCTGAAGAAATAGAAGTGAGTGACAAAAATTCGCTGCAATTTAAGATTTTCGCCTACGCAACAAATCTCTTTTTTTCAAAAATTTTGTCGGTGGTTAGCCTTGTGCTCAATTCTTGTCAATCCCAAATTCATGGTATAGCCCATGAATAAAATATATGTATATCCTGTTCTAAGTGTTTGAAATGATCCGCGACAGGCCTTTAAATTTGTTTTTGGAATTGATGTTAGTCGGTTAACTTATAGATAAAGATCGCATATTTAAGTCCGTTCAATTTCAAGTCAATGTTCCTTCGAAAAGGCGACGTCGGTTAGGAAATATATGTAGAATATACCCAAAGTGGTGAAGGGTATCATATAGTCGGCCCAGTCCGACTATACTACTTTCCTTACTGGTTTCTTCTAGGAAGTTTATGATTGCAAATGGAATATATCGATATTCGGTATTATGGGAATTTAGGGCACCTTTATCAACCGGCTTTAACGCGTAGACTTCTAAATGTGGATATTTTTTAATAATTTCCAAACCACTATCAAATTTTGATGAGGTTATTTTTTTAAATTATTTATTTTTTTAACATTATACTCCCAACCATTATTAGATCTCAATATGTTGTAATTTTAACACAATGGTTCCATTTTTAAATAAATCAACATTTTCTTCTTTTTTTCGTAAAAAAAAATAGTTTTCAAAAATTATTTTTTTCTCTCCCTTCCATAAAAACACATTTTATTTTAATTGATTTGTTTTTAATAATTTGTATTTTATTGTTTTTCAATTATACAAAATATATATGAATATGTTTGTAAGTTTAATTTCATGAATATCAAAATATGCATATGTATGTACGATGAATGTGTGAATCTATGTAAACAACAAAACTGATAACAAAACAACTGAAATGGAATACAAAATGGGGGAAAAAGAAAATAAATGCAAATTAACTGATGCAATCAATGTCTATTTTGTTTTGCAGGTCATCAATGTCTGTTTACGGACCCCCAACGATGTTCTGGATGATACTGTTGTTACTACTGGAGATAATCATTCGACATCGCCCAGAACACCACTCACCCAGACTGCCCTTTCATCCATCCATCCATTCAAAACAAATAAACAAGTACGTAATGATGATGTCCACGATTACTGATAATTAGCTAATACTTCACGATTGATAACACCCGGATAGCTGGTATAGACTTGTGATTTGCCAGTCAATGCAATAAATTGCTCGGCAACTTCGACAGCCACACGAACCTGAGCCTCAGCTGTACTGGCGCCCAAATGTGGCGTAGCCACTACTTTGGGATGTTGTATCAATTTCTTGGTTACTTCAGATTTAGGTGGTTCTTCGGGGTAAACATCGAAGGCGGCACCGCCACACTGACCCGACTCCAAGGCATCGAGTACAGCTTGTTCATCAACAATACCGCCACGGGCAACATTGACTACTTTGACGCCTTTTTTGCACTTAGCCAAGGATTCGGCAGAGACGAGATCTGTAATGGAAGATAGAGAGAGGAAATGGGAGATAAATTAGAAATGAAATTTACAAAAATATTTAAAAATATATATTTTTCAGAAGACCCATAGGCGTGGATTTTTTAAACGGAGTATTTTTCAGACATGGATTTTTTAATAAAAAATATTTTTTCAGAAGAGAAATATTTTTCAAGGGCCAACTGAGGCGTGGATTTATTAAAGAATATTTTTCAAGGGCCAACTGAGGCGTGGATTTATTAAAGAATATTTTTCAAGGGCCAACTGAGGCGTGGATTTATTAAAGAATATTTTTCAAGGGCCAACTGAGGCGTGGATTTATTAAAGAATATTTTTCAAGGGCCAACTGAGGCGTGGATTTATTAAAGAATATTTTTCAAGGGCCAACTGAGGCGTGGATTTATTAAAGAATATTTTTCAAGGGCCAACTGAGGCGTGGATTTATTAAAGAATATTTTTCAAGGGCCAACTGAGGCGTGGATTTATTAAAGAATATTTTTCAAGGGCCAACTGAGGCGTGGATTTATTAAAGAATATTTTTCAAGGGCCAACTGAGGCGTGGATTTATTAAAGAATATTTTTCAAGGGCCAACTGAGGCGTGGATTTATTAAAGAATATTTTTCAAGGGCCAACTGAGGCGTGGATTTATTAAAGAATATTTTTCAAGGGCCAACTGAGGCGTGGATTTATTAAAGAATATTTTTCAAGGGCCAACTGAGGCGTGGATTTATTAAAGAATATTTTTCAAGGGCCAACTGAGGCGTGGATTTATTAAAGAATATTTTTCAAGGGCCAACTGAGGCGTGGATTTATTAAAGAATATTTTTCAAGGGCCAACTGAGGCGTGGATTTATTAAAGAATATTTTTCAAGGGCCAACTGAGGCGTGGATTTATTAAAGAATATTTTTCAAGGGCCAACTGAGGCGTGGATTTATTAAAGAATATTTTTCAAGGGCCAACTGAGGCGTGGATTTATTAAAGAATATTTTTCAAGGGCCAACTGAGGCGTGGATTTATTAAAGAATATTTTTCAAGGGCCAACTGAGGCGTGGATTTATTAAAGAATATTTTTCAAGGGCCAACTGAGGCGTGGATTTATTAAAGAATATTTTTCAAGGGCCAACTGAGGCGTGGATTTATTAAAGAATATTTTTCAAGGGCCAACTGAGGCGTGGATTTATTAAAGAATATTTTTCAAGGGCCAACTGAGGCGTGGATTTATTAAAGAATATTTTTCAAGGGCCAACTGAGGCGTGGATTTATTAAAGAATATTTTTCAAGGGCCAACTGAGGCGTGGATTTATTAAAGAATATTTTTCAAGGGCCAACTGAGGCGTGGATTTATTAAAGAATATTTTTCAAGGGCCAACTGAGGCGTGGATTTATTAAAGAATATTTTTCAAGGGCCAACTGAGGCGTGGATTTATTAAAGAATATTTTTCAAGGGCCAACTGAGGCGTGGATTTATTAAAGAATATTTTTCAAGGGCCAACTGAGGCGTGGATTTATTAAAGAATATTTTTCAAGGGCCAACTGAGGCGTGGATTTATTAAAGAATATTTTTCAAGGGCCAACTGAGGCGTGGATTTATTAAAGAATATTTTTCAAGGGCCCAAGGGCCAACTGAGGCGTGGATTTATTAAAGAATATTTTTCAAGGGCCAACTTGGATTTATTTAAAAATATTTTTCAAGGGCCAACTGAGGCGTGGATTTATTAAAGAATATTTTTCAAGGGCCAACTGAGGCGTGGATTTATTAAGAAATATTTTTCAACTTATGGTGGTATTAAATTGTTGCAAAAGTGAAATTTTAATTCGAAGAAGATTTATTTTGTGTTTTGCAAAATTTATTCATTTTTTTGACTAGACACACAAACAAATTATGCAAATCAAAGTCTCAGTCTCTGAGCAAAAAGTTTACACATGTCTTATGTTAATTACTCAACTTGGAGCTGAAGCTTTTAGCCAGCTGTCTATTTACTTTTACACTTGCCAGGAGAGTGTTTGAAAACAAAATTTTAATTTTCCTTCCCTCTTTCCTATGGAAAATAGACGTAGGTGAAAACACGTATGTCAAAGGTTAACAACTGCTCGATGCGGGGTCATATTTGAAATGTCAACAAATTAAGAGGAATTTTTTAATAGGTTAGGATGTTTGCTTTTGCTAATGTGATATATCAGTCCACCTTTCGGTACTTGCAAAATTACCACCCATTATTCGGTTTTGAGGACATTATATTCGAATTGGATGTAATTTGATACATTGGGGTTTAAATGGGTAACTAATCTGCTTATGAAGGATTATCAAAGCCATATGTGTGGAGTTTGTAAGAATATTGTTTTGAAGGACTGTTAGCACCAAAAGCGGCACTCATTATTCGAGTGGAGCCAAAAGCGTCGAAGTAAATAGTTTTTTGACGGACAGGCCCATAAACTTGGATCTTAAAGAAAAACCATTAAGGCAAATATTTATTTAAAGGCCTCCTTAAGTCAAAAGCGTCTAATTTTTTTACGAATTCAGAGTCATAATAATAATAAACAGAGAAATAAGCGTGGATTTTCTATGAATATTTTTTTAAAGAACTATCAAAGCCATAAACATGGACTTTTTCAGAAAAATATTTTCAAGAACTTAAAATTGGGTATTATACCCTACACAACTATGTTGTCAGGGTATTATAACTTTGTGCAGCCCCAAAAGTTTGTAAGGCCGCGAAACATTGGTCCTAGACCCACCTTTAAGTATACCGATCGTCATATCTCGACTAGCTGAGTCGATCTAGACATGTGTGTTCGTCCGTCCATCTGTACATTATAATTTGTAAACACGATACAGGCCACCGTTATGGACCAATCTTCACGAAATTTTGCATGTAGGAAGGGTTCTGGCCAATGAAGACCCCTATTGTTTTTGGAAAAGATCGGTTAATATTTAGGGGATGAAATGGATCAAATACTAAATTTTTGTCGGTTTTTCCGATCGCTCCAGAGGCCGCAATAATAGCCCGAACATCGTGAAATTTTGCATGGAAAAGGGGATCGGGCCAAAGAATAAGCATGCCTGTTTTGATAAAGATCGGTCAATGTTTAGCGGGTCAAATGGACCCTGACTTTTGTGTAAAAAATGACAAATTTTGTATTCTATAGCGTATTTATTTACCCCTGAAGGGCATAGACCCGAGAAGTTGATATTATATCCAAGAGGTGTGGTTGACCCTTAAATCAATACCAATTATGTTGTTATATGTGCCCGGATGTGGGAGTTACACCTAAATATTTACAGGTATCTCCGTATTCGTATATTATTTAGTAACCCATTATCACTCTAGAGAGCGGAACTATAGCGCTGATGGCTTTGAAATGTTCCATGAGGTTCCAGTTATGGTCAAGGACAACGCCTATAATTTTCGGTGATGTTCAGATAATAATTTTGGAATGAAGTGGACCGAAAACTTAATTTTTTGTGTGATTTTCGAGTCTATCTATACACAACAAATGAAAGCCGAACATCACACCACAACCCACTGTGAAGGGAATCTGGACAGTAGCTGTATTGAATACTCGTAATATTCGGAAAATATGTCAGTGTGAGGAAGAGGTGCTGTTTACCTCTAATCGGGCTCGGAATAAACATCCGCAGAAAATTTGAGTCGGTTGTTAGTTGTGTAGGGTATCGTATGGTCCCGTACGACTAGAACTAAAGAACTAACAGAGCTTTAAGTTTTGTATGGGTATTATTTTGATCGAATTCGCCGTAATTTAGTACTTTGAGTTCTTATAAATATAGGTAAATTTTTCGGGTAGTCCCCTCCCTCTCCTTTTTCTGTATTTTAGCGCATTCTTTAACAAATAATATTCGCCCGCTAAAAGAGCGCTGTAATTTGGAACCTTCGGTTCTTATTGTGTACCTACGAATTTTTGGTATTTTGATGGTTTTAAGTGCGAATTCGAATTCGCTGTAATTTGGTATTTTTTAGTCGCTTTTGATAATAAATCTCCCTCCTAAAAATTATTTATATTCGCCCCCTTTTAGGGGTAGTCCTCATATAACGCCATTTGCCTAAAATCACTTTCAAAGTTGATTTATGCATGTTCGTCCGTCCGTCTGTTCATTATAAATTAAACACAATGTACAGGTCACATTTATTTATTTGACCCAAGGACGAACCCTATTGAAATTTGGAAAAAATCGGTTCATATTTAGATATATCTCCTATATATATTTTCGTCCGATTTAAAGTAAATGGTGTTCCAAAGTCCCTATATATCTTTCGATTTGCACGAAATTTTGAATGGGGTACTATATTAAGTCTAGAATGATGTGTGTTAAGTTTTGTGAAAATCGGTTCATAATTAGATATAGATCCCATATATATTTTCGTCCGATTTAAGACAAATGGTGCACCAAAGACCCTATATACTCTTCGATTTGCACTAAATTTGCATAGCGTACTGAATTGAGTCTAAATGGTGCACCAAACTTCTAGTGTTTGTCCGATTAAGACGAAATCTTGCACATTGTATCAAATTGAGACGTGAATGGCGTTATTGCGTTTTATTGAAATTGGTGCAGATGTAGCCATAGCTTCCATATGTATTTCGAACGGGTGTCTGATTGAAATTAAATTTTTAACAGTGCGGCATACCGAATAGCTTGTATCAATTTTGCTATAAATCGTTTTCCATAAATTTGTCCCATGGTACACAGACGACTCTAAATCTGTCCGAATGAAATTAAATTTTGCATAGGTTGCAGAAAGGCATGGCATATGTTCCTTCGAGGGAGCATTGACATACAATTGTAAGGATACATATGTGCAATATACCCAAAGTGGTGATGGGTATCATATAGTCGGCCCAGTCCGACTTTACTACTTTCCTTACTGGTTTAGAATAAAGAACTACTGAAGAACTACCGCTGTCATAAGCGTGATTTTTTTAATAACATTTGTAAGAATATTTTTTTCCAAAAAGTGGGCATTTTAAAGAATGAAGAGCTACCAGAATCGTAAGAGTAAATTGTTAGAAGTCAATCGGTCCATAATCTTGGATTTTTTAAAAATATTTTTTTAAGGACTTTAAGAGTTGATTTTTAAATAAAAATTTGTTCATGGACTGTGTGGATTTTCAAATAAAACTTTTCTAAAAAGCTTTCAGAGCCTGGATATTTATCACTTACTTTTGAAGGGGTATCAGAGCCATAAGCGTTAAATTTCAAATAAATAATAATTTTTGAAGAACTCAGAGTCATAATTCAGGATATTTATACGGTACAGAACTATATTGTAAGGGTATTATAGTTTTGTGCCGCGCTGAGAGTTTGAAACACCGCGAAATATTGGTCCTAGACCCACCTTTCAGTATACCGATTGATTAGCTGAGTCAATTGAGCAATGTATGGCGGTTCGTCAGTCCTATTATATTTTGAAAAATAGCGTACAAGCCGCATTTTTGACCAAACGTTACGAATAAAAACCTTTTTTTAATAATGATCGGCTAATACCAAAACTTTATTTTTGTCCGTTTTTCAGATCGTTCTAGAAGTCACAATTATGACCCGAACTACACGAAATTTAACATCGAGAATGGGAACTGCCAATGGATGAGCATGGCTGTTTTTATGATGATCGCTCAATATGGACAAAGACTTTTAACACAACATTTTCGTTCCAAGGAGTAAATATTTACTCCAGAGTTACATAGACCGGATGAATTAATACTAATTAACATTGGGTGTTTTGGGATAGGCCCCAAATAAATGGAACCCCCCTATTATTTGGTACTTTGGGAATATTGAGCAATTTTTTTTTACTTTTTTCTTACAGAATCATAATCAGAGTCCTCGATCATCTTATATTTGATATTTGATATTTCATAAACTTACTGCTCTAATTATGGCCAAAAAAATGGGATCTCTGACCCATAGTGGGTCCGTCCTGCTTTGGTGATTTCCGTCTTTAAGTTTTAATTTTGCAAAAAAAATCATTAAGAAATTAAAAAAAAAATGTATACTTACTTTAAAACAATAACTTTATTTTTGGTTGCCGCTGGCACATCGATATTATCCACACCGGCTCCAGCACGACCAACAACCTTTAAACTTCCCGCCCCAGCTTCTAGAACTTGTTGGGTGATTTTTGTATCCGACCTAACAATAGCAGCATCGTAATTCTGAAAGAAGATCGTCAGGAAATTTGTATATGAATTGGAAACAATAAAAATAAATTACTAAATTCGGCCGGGCGGAAATTTCTGTACCCTATACCATGACATGGGTTAACTACCCCAAAATTTCCGGTTATGATCAGATGATACCTAAAATCGATTGAGAAATATCTACAATTCAGCAGGGCATCTGTATGGTGGCTATATAATTTTATTTATCCTCAACTAAACCGATATGCAAACTTACAGCCACTTCGTTAAAATACCTTAATGGGCGCGGGACTTGTGTATGGAGACTATGTTTACCTACCTCTTTGGTATTGATAATTTTATTCAAAGAAGTTTTTTCCCACGTTTGGAAGTTACATTTAAATTACTACAATGGGGCGGGACCTGTGTATGACGGCTATGTCAAAATTTCGTTTCGAAGTTCCATTAATATATGCACCTAAGATGGTGGAAACCCTTTATATGGCAGTTAGTTTAAAATATGGACCTATATTGATTATATTCATTTAAAACTTTCGGATTGCTAAGATACGGTTAGAAAATATGCCTAGGACTAGCAAAATACAGAAAATGGCACCGTACCGACATGTGGGTGTTATACCAAAACTTAGTCCTATATTGATCATTTTCTAAAAATATATGTTTCTCTCTTTAAGAACCCTTCATGCCAAATTCCAGCCTCCAATCGAAAGGAACCTTCATTCCTAAAAAAAAAATCACGAAAATATTTAAATAGGGATATACCAAAACAAGTATCTTTATAGACAATTTCCTGCAAATATATTTTTCCAACCTCCAAGAACTTTTAATGCAAAATTACAGCCCCCTTCATTTCGTAAATATGGCTACAAATTTAAAAACGTCAAAAAAAGATGTGGGTACTTTAAATAAGCCTATACCAAAACATGACCCACTGTTGAAAATTTTCTGCAAATACATGTTTCACCCTTCAAGAACCCTTAATGTCATATTATAGCGCCTTCGATCTGAAAATGTATCCAATATTTAGTTGATCAGATGGAAAATTTATTATGTTCGGCTTGTCTAGAGCAACTAGATTATCAGCCAAAAGTAAAGTATTCGGTCCGAAATATCATATGATCATCACCGAAAATTATAGGTGTCGTCCTTCACCATAACCGGAACCTCATGCAGCGCAAACATTTCGTTGCGTTATAAGCAACGAAATGTAATTCTATGCATATTCTATGCATATTCTCAAAAGGAATTATGTGTTTATCTCGTTTCCTTTTGCCTGGTACAAACATATGAACACGGACATATGCAATTGACATATGCACAAGGACACAGTTTGGCGATGGGCATAAAAAGGCTAGAAATACAATACAAATACAGTACTCCGATAAAATAGCTAATTATCAATGATTGTGAAAAAAATTTATCACAGAAAATGATTTCGGAGAAATATTCAATGAATAAATCAGTGATTTCTCGAATTATAAGTTGAGTTTATGCAACTATATCAGTAGTGACAGTGCAGCAAGGAGGAATGATGAAGACGTTTAAAGACGTAAATACCCGAGTATTTACCCAAAAAATGGATTTAAACTCATTAACTGTCGAACCACTTGACATAGGGGGCCAACATTTTGCTTACATGTTTTTAATGTCAAAGCAAATATAGAAATCCAAAATGGAGTCCCTGGGTCCAAGTTTTGATATAGCCCCCATATGACCGTATTTCCCGTTTTTAGATATTTTTACATTAGACACATTTTACAACCAAACTGGCTGTAATTTGGCACAGAGTGTTCTCTTAATGTCCATGCAAAAATGTATGTATGTAGGTCCACGTTTACTGGTAGCATCCATACAAAGGTACCCCTATTTTGAGTATATACCAAAAAATTGGGTATAAACTCATTAACTGGCAAACCACTTGACATAGCCGGCCAAAATTTGGCTAAGATGGTTTTTATATCAATACTAATGCGAAATTGGGTCCCTGGGTCCACGTTTTTAAATATAGCCCCCATATAACCGTACCTTCCGATTTTAGGTAATTTTTATCTATTAGCCAATTTTATTGGCTGGAATTTGGCTCAGAGAGTTCTCTATGAGTACCAATTGTTTACGCTTGCCCACATTTTCCGTCCCATATAACGGTCCTGCTTTTGGGTATTTATATATATTTATAAACTCTTTAACAGCCGAACCATTTGACGTGTGTTTTGAAGGTACGGTTATATGGGGGCTATATAAAAACTTGAACCCAGGGACCCCATTTCGCATACCATTACTTGGATTGACAATAAAAACCATCTGAGCCAAATACTCGGGTATTTACCCACGTATTTAAATTATCGTAAAACTATCCATTCTAAATCGATTTGATAACAGAAACCCGGAAATAGGGTGTAAGATGTTGGATTACCGATTCAATAAAGTAAATACCCAAATAAATACCCACAAATGGGTATTTACCCAATTTACCGGGTATTTACTCAATTTACCGGCTATTTACCCACTGCCCATCTCTACGCATCGGAAAAAATACGTTTAAATTAAGTTTTCTCTATGAATTCGTTTACTGGCCGAACTTATATAGGCTTTGATGAAACTATTTTTCGTTTCAAATATATTGTTTGTCTGTTTGTAGAAAGAAAATATTGACATTTGTTGCCTATATTTTTCGGAATTACCACGAATAACAGCAATAATGTTTTCATTTTATTGTTTATAAAGTAAACAAATTAGACAACAGTCAATTGATTTTCGGCAGGATTGTCATATTAAAATGAATAAATTCAGTTTAATTTTGTGCATTAACAACACATAAACATTGGGGTAATGTGCAAATTAATTTGAATTTAGGCTGTTAATATAAATTAAGGCGGATCTGCGCACAAAAGTTATAACGGTTTTAATTTTGAGGTACAGGGTATTATGTCTTTGTACATATGTCTGTAACAGGCAAAAGGAACCGAGATGGACACATGGATCCTTTTGAGAATATGCGCAGACTCATTTTTGAAGTCGATTTATGCATGTCCGTCCATCTGTCCGTCTGTCTGTCCATGTTAAATTGTAAACAAGGTACATGTTGCATTTTTGATTCTAATTGAAATTGGGAAAAATCGGTTTAGATTTAGATATAGCTCTCACATATATTTTCGTCCGATTTAAGGTATATGGTGCACCAAAGTACGTATATATCCTACGATTTGTACGAATTTCGGCATAGCGTACTAAATAAAGTCTAAAACGATGTGTGTTAAATTTCGTGAAAATCGTTTTAGTTTTAGATATAGCTACCATATATATTTTCGATTGATTTTAGGTAAATGGTACACCAAAGTCCCTTCGATTTGCACGAAATTTGCCATAGGGTACTGAATAAGGTCTATAATGATGAGTTGTAAGTTTCGGGAAAATCGGTTCAGATTTCGATTTAGCTCCCATAAATATTTTAGTCCGATTTAATGTAAATGGTGTACCAAAGTCCCTATACACCCTTCGATTTTCACTTTGGATAAGCCTACTGAATAGACCATCGGTTCAATCGTGGATATCGGTTCAAATTTAGATATAGCTCCCATATATATTTTCGTCGGATTTTTGGTAAATGGTGCACCGAAGTCCCTATATATTTTTCGATTTGCACGAAATTTGGCACAGCATAATGAATTAGGCCTAGAATGATGTGTGTTAAGTTTACTTAAAATCGGTCCAAATTTCGATATAGCTCCCATATATATTTTCGTCCGATTTTAGGTAAATGGTGCACCAAAGTCGCTTTATATCCTTCGATTTGCATGAAATTTGGTAAGCGTACTGAATTAAGTCTCGAATAATGTGTGTTAAGTTTCCCAAAAATCGGTTCTTATTTAGATATAGCTCCCATATATATTTTCGTCCGATTTAATGTAAATGGTGTACTAAAGTCCATATCTTTCGATTTGCACGAAATTTGGCACAGCGTACTGAATTAGATCTAGAATGATGTATGTAAATTTTTCTAAAAATCGGCTCAGATTTAGATATGGCTCCCATATTTATTTTCACCCGATTTGTGGTAAATTGTATACCAAATTCCCTATATATCTTTAGATTTGCACGAAATTTGGCACAGCGTACTGAATTAGATCTTGAATGATGTATGTAAATTTTTCTAAAAATCGGCTCAGATTTAGATATGGCTCCCATATATATTTTCACCCGATTTATTGTAAATGGTGTATTAAAGTCCCCATATATCTTTCGATTTGCACGAAATCAGACACAGCGTACTGAATTCGCGAACACATAAAGCTATAATACCCTTAAAAATTTAGTTGAGTAACTGTAATAATAATTTTTTGGTCAATGGGTGGCAAAAAATAGTCCGTATTTAATAGTACCCCATAATTTAACATATTTTGAATATTTCAGATATGTTTTCCAACCGATATGGTTCTAATTTGATGATTAGTATTCACAGTGGCTGGCAAATACTCCTACAAAAATTATAAGTAAAGGTCGAGCCCTTTTTAGCATTTTCGAACCGAAATGACAATATTTGAATATTACAAAGCATTTTGGGACCTGGACTTCTTCACAGAACATTTTCTATAGAAATACATGTTTCTACATAACCCCCTTATAAAGCACACACATTCATTTCGATTTGTTCAAGATCGCAGCCCAATTTTTTAACCAGAGTATCTGATATAGCCCTCATAAAAAAGTCCCGGGATTTTATTACCGATTTTAGGTATTTTTAATTCCCAACCTATAGTAGAGGGTATAAAAAGTTCGACTTGGCCTAATTTAAGTGCGATTTTAACAAAAAAAATATATTAAAAATTTGTGTACATCAAATTTGGTACACCCTAATATACACATATCAAAAAATAATCATCTCAAATTATAACAAATACTTACTTTGACTTCTTTGCACAGTTCATCAACCGGCAATTTCAATTTATAAGCAACCTGGACGAAAAGAACAAAAACAAATAATTAATTCAAAATAAAATTTCAATGAAAACCACAACAATAACAACAAGTAAATATTTTAATAATCATCAAAAAATAAATAAATTGAGACGAATAAAAAAACGAAATTTACATTAATGCCATTCTTTTGCAATAGCTCGACACAGGCACTGTCGACGGCATCGCACACCAACACATTTTTAATATCAACCGGCATTTTTTCTTTCTGTCTTATTTTTTTTTAAATTATTTCAATATATCTTTTGATTATTCTCTTTATTTTTTCGTTCTACTCAGAAGTTCGTGGGCTTTGAGGATTTATTTTTTTATTTTTCTTTTTTTTATTTGAGGACTTGTTGTTCTTGATCTGCACTTGTACAACCAGTCTGGACGGTATGCGAAACTCAACTGATTACAGAATATTGAAAAGAATACTAAACCGGCCGACTTTGTAAGAGACCTGCATTCCATAGCTGACGTTGGGTAGTATCACAGACTGGGGCGGAGGTAAAGGACAGACGTGCAAACAACAAACAACTCGCATTGAAAAATAATAAAAAAAAAACAAAATGAAAACAACAACGATCTCCAGACTGACCACATTGAATGGCTGTTTGTGTCTGGCGGCACAGTGTTTGAGAAAGAGTAGAATAAAAACTGGATAGAATCTTCACGAAATTATTATAAAAAAAGTTTAGGAAAATGTTTTTCTTTTATTAAATCTACACTACCTACCGGCTTGTTATGTACCCCAAAATAATTTCAAAACCCCTTATTATTGCTTCTAAAGCCCCTCAAAAAAATAAGGCATTTAAAAAATAATTTTTAAAAAATATACGCTTGGAGCTCTAATAACTTCTCGGAAATATTTAAAAACCAGTGAGCGGAGCAGTATAGTCGGACGTGGCCGACCATACGATACCCTACACAACTAACACGGAACTCGGATGTTTATTCCGATTCCCTTCACTGTGGATTGTGTTGTGATGTTCGCCTATATTCGACTGGAAAACACACAAAAAAATAAAGTTTTCGGTCCACTTCATCCCAAAATTTTAATCTGATCATTATCGAAAATTATAGGCGTTGTCTTTGACCATAATTGGAACTTCATGGTCAATTTTAAAGGGATCAGCGCTTTATTTCCGCGTTCTAATGTGGTAATGGGTTACTAAATAATATCTGAATACGTAAGCACCTGTAAATATTTAAGTGTAACTCCCACATCCGAGTACGTACGACAATGTAATTGGAGTCATTTTGAAGGTCAAACATTCCGCTTGGATACACTATCAACTTCGCGGGTTTATATGCTTCACGAGTAAATATATACGCCATAGAATACAATTTTTGTAATTTTTCACACAAAAGTCAGGGTCCATTTGACCCGCTAAATAATGACCGATCTTTATCAAAACAGGCCGAACATCTTCTCCATGTAAAATTTCGCGATGTTCGGGCCATAATTGCGGCCACTTTGCCATATTTGGTCCATATCATCCCCTACATGCAAATCCCTTCCTACATGCAAGGTTTCGTGAAGATTGGTCCATAACTGTGGTCTGTGTTTACAAACTATAATGGACAGACGGACTGACGGACGGACGGACACACATGTCTAGATCGACTCAGCTAGTCGAGATAAGACGATCGGTATACTTAATGGTGGGTCTAGGACCAATATTTCGCGGCGTTACAAACTCTTGGGGCTGCACAAAGTTATAATACCCTGACAACATAGTTGTGTAGGGTATAAAAATACATGCTTAGATCTTGATAGTCCCTCGACAATAATTAAAACCCATTAAGGAAAGTAATAAAGTCGGACTGAGAAGACTATATGATACTTCTCAGCACTTTAGGTATATTCTACATAGTCTCCTTTTCGAAAGAACATTGACATGAAAATGAACGGAATATATATAACAACTTTAGTGCGCGATTTCAATTAAATCGGACGAAAATATATATGCGAGCTATATCTAAATCTGAACCGATTTTCTCGAAACTTGACACACGTCATTCTAGACTTAATTCAGTACACTATGCAAAATTTTCCGCAAATCGAAAGATATATAGGGACTTTGGTCCACCATTTGTATCAAATCGGAAATCGTAAACTATATATGGAAGCTATAACTTAATAAACATCGTTCTAGACTTAAAATATTACTCACGTCATTCTGGACCTAATTAAGTATCGAATGCCAAATTTCGTGGAAATCTAAAGATATATAGGGACTTTGGTGCACCATTTACCCTTAAATCGGACGAAAATATATATGGGAGCTATATACAAAGCTAAACCGATTTTCACGAAACTTTGCACACATCATTTTAGGCTTAATTTAGTACGCTGTGCCAAATTTCGTGCCAATAGAAAGATATTTAGGGAATTTGGAGCACCATTTACCTAAAATCGGACCAAAATATATATGGGAGGTATATCAGAATCTAAACCGATTTTCACGAAACTTAACACACATCATTCTAGACCTAATTCATTACGCTGTGCCAAATTTCGTGCAAATCGAAAGATATATTGGGACTTTGGTGCACCATTTACATTTAATACGACGAAAATGCATATGGGAGCTGTATCTAAATCTGAAACGATTTTCAGGAAACTTAACACACATATTTCTAGGCCTAATTCATTGCGCTGTGCCGAATTTCGTGCAAATCGAAGGGTATATAGGGACTTTGGTGCATCATTTACATTTAATAGGACGATAATGCATATGGGAGGTATATCAAAATCTGAACCGATATTCACGAAACTTAATACACATCGTTAAAGACTTAAAATAGTACGCTATGCCAAATTTCGTGCAAATTGAAAGATATATAGGGAGTTTGGTGCACCATTTACCTTAAATCGGACAGGAATATACATGGGAGCTATATCTGAACCGATTTTCACGAAAATTGGCACACATCACTCTGGACCAGTTCAGTACTCTATGTCAAATTTCGTCCAAATCGAAAGATATATAGGGACTTTGGTGAATATACCGGGCGAAAGTATATATGGGAGCTATATCTAAATCTGAACTGATTTTTCCCAATTTCTATAGGGTTTGTCCTTGGGCGAAACGAATGAACTGTGACAAATTTCATCCAATTCGGATCATAAATGCGACCAGTACTTTGTTTACAACTTAACATGGACATGCATAAATCGACTGAAAAAGTGATGCTATGCATATTCTCAAAAGGAACCCTGTGTCTATGTCGTTCCCTTTTGCCTATTTGTATACCCTGGTGAAGGGTGAAGGGACGCTTGGGGATATAATAGTGCATTGAAAATAATATTCAAAAAATTTAACAATGTTAGTCCCGCGAAAAAATCCCCGCTTACGGATCTGATCGTTCCTCGAAAATAAATTTTTAAATATACACCCTTAGGACTCTGATAGTCCCTCGAAAATAATGTTTAATGTTTCGAAAATAATGTTTAAAATATCCAGGCTTAGGGCTCTGATAGTCCCTCAAAAATAATTTTTAAAGAGTTCTAAGCCCTAAGCTTAGAACTCTGATTGTTCCTTGAAAATAATTTTTAAAAAATCCACGCTTAGGGCTCTGATAGTTACTCTAAAAATAAATTCGAAAATACCCACGCTAAATGTTCTGATAGTTCCTCGAACCCTCTTGTAATTTCTCAATGGACCTTCGAAAAATTTTTAATAAATCCACGCTTTAGTCACTCAAAAATATTTTTTTTAAATCCTCGCTTCGGGCCCCCTCAAAAAAATCCTCGCTCTGGATATTTACTCTTAGGTCTCCAAAATAGTTCTTAAATAATCAACGTTTAGGACTCCGATAGTTTCTCGAACATAATTTTCAAAAAATCCAATCTTACAGCTCTGATAGTCCCTTCAAAATAATTTTTAAAAAAATCCACTCTTAGAGTTCTGAAAGTCCTCAAACATATTAAAAAAATCCACTACTAGGTCTCTGATTGCCCCTGAAAAAAAATCAACCTTATGAAGCTGATAGGTCCTCAAAAATAATTTTTAAAAAATCCTCGCTTCGAACTCTGATAATCCCTCAAAAATACATTTTTCATAATTCATTCTTCGATAATCCCTCAAAAATAAAAGTTTAAAAAATCCACACTTCGATGGTCCCTCAAAAATAAATTTTTCAATATCAACGCTTCGATAGTCCCTCAAAAATAATTTTTAAAAATCCACGCTTAGGGTTCTGATATATCCTCGGAAGTAATTTTAAAAATACCCTTGTTTAGGGCTCTGATAGTACTTTAAAAATAATTCTTCAAAAATCCACGCTAAAAACTCTTAAAGCCCTTCAAAAAATCATCATCAAAATTAAAAAATATGGCTCCAGATGACCTCAATTTTTTTTATAAAATCCATTCTTATGAAGCTCATAGGCTCTAAAAAATATTTTCTATAAAACGCACACAATAAAAATCTTTCTAAAAAATATATTTTTTTTTTAATGCATACTCAAGACTCTTTTTGCTCGCAAAAAATACAGGCTTTGTTCCTCAAAAATATTTTTTAAAAAATCGGAGTTATGTTTGTCCTTGAAAAATAATTTTAAAAATCGCCACCTGGGGTTCTGTTCGTCCTGGAAAAATATTTAAAAAAAAAATAGGCTTTGGGCTTAGTTTGTCCCGATGTTTTTAAATCCACGCTTATTGATATGTTGTGCCTTGAATAATATATATTTTTAAAAATTCACATTTGGGACGCTGTTAATCCTTCCAAAAATATATATTTTTAAAATCCCCGCCATCTATTTCCAACCACTGTGCCATGTAAGTAAATAAAATATCAGCATTATTATTTGTTTTCTTCCAAAGGCACAAAAATACTTGTTGCCGTGGACAACAACGTGTAAACGACCATCCATAAATGAGAAATGTCATAAATTAATGTGTTGTTGTTGTGGTGGTGGTCTGACCGATAAGAATTTCTCAAAATGCTGTTCTGTCTCACCTACTATCCAAAATTTTACTCAGACAATTGCACTAGGTTATATGAGAGCTATTATTTTGTTGTTGTATACACTATATTACACCTTTGATAAAACGACTAAGCGGCTTCTTATCGCATCGTGATAGTCTCAGGAGAACAACCAATTTGTATTATATCAGATGATCAACTCAATATAGAGATAATGTGAAAATTTCATTGAAAATTTTGACGGCCCTTATTATTAATCTAATCAACATAATTTGTACGAAAGTTAAA